TCGCCACAATGGTTCCTATCGCATTGGGTGCCAATTGGATAAGGGTAATCCCATACACCCTTAGCAGGTCAGAGATCAATGGATGAAGGGGGAACCGAAGACCGAATTGGAGGAAGTGCTGATAAACACAAATCTCCCCCTCCTTGGGAGTCCACGGCCGATCACCCACCTCGGGTGCCCTTACCCCATAGGACGAAGGGATGAAGTATTGCCTTGTCAGGGCCTTGACCTGATCCCACTCTAGAGAACCTTCGAACTCTGGGTGAGAAGGATCAGTCTCGGCCACTACTCCGACAACACTCTCAACTCTCGTCCAGGGGATGAGGTCTATGTCCTTCTCCCCCTCGGCCTCCCTCGGCGTCATAGATGCAACGCTCTCACAGGGAGGGCCATTGCCTCAGCGGATGCCTTCGTCTCCCTCAGAGGTTACCCTCTCCTGGAGCTCCTCCACCTCAAACCGAAGGAGAATGGAAATAGAAGGGATTAAAGGGGAAGGGGAGATGGAGTTCAAATGGAGCTCCCCTCTGATACATTCGGAAGTTCATAGCACTCAGGCCCAGAATCTGAGAAAGACAAGTTGAGTTCACTCGAAGACGAAAGCACTTGGAGGCAAAATGACAAAGATTCTATTGTTGAAGCCCCTATTTAAAGAGTAACAAACGGCCCAGATCTCTCGAGGTCTAATGGTTGAGAAGCCACCGCCTCCACAACTCAATCATGGCGCGCCGCCTGACACTCAACCTCGGAAGGCGAAACGATGCGCTAGCGATGACTCAGATCATCCCTGATCCAACGGACACGAAACGCCTCCGCACTTGCGATCCAGTCGCACCGCACCTCTGAATGCCCGTCCTCGGAAGGCGAAACGACGCTCAGGGTGCACCTGTGATCCATCCGTGCCGCACCCCTAAGCGCTCACCCTCGGAAGATGAAATGATGCTCAAGACAGACCAGCGTGTCCGCCCAAAGTGACCCGCCGGTCTGGGCTGCCCGTTCCCGGGAACACGCACGTGGGTCTAACCAGAAAGCCGTCCCGCACATGGATCCTCGGGCCTCACGGGCCCCTCAACTTCACAGGTCCCCGACCTAAACAGTCTTTGGCTTTACAGGCCTTCGACCCCTTAGGTCCTCGGCCCAGATGATGGCACCAAAGCATCCGCACTGAGCGTGCCCCCCAAGTCACTTGTCTGAAGCGGCATTGCCATAGACCACTCCCAGCCTCGACCCAACTTTTAAAGATAAACCAGGCAGAGGTGAGAAAGAGGATGCCACCTCAGGGTACGCCTCGGCTACCGGACCCACTGGCGCTCACCACTACTACTCCCGTCAACCGAAGCCGAATTTTTCTCTTGGCCTCGGGAGTGGGGGCCAAGTGATGTGGGGTGACCCAACCCAGCCCATTTGGGGCTGGGAGGCCCATCCCACGAGCGCCAGATTCAGGAACGAGATCTGCTATAGCAGGGGTTACCTTTTTCCCCTCGTACGAAGCTAATCGCAGAGCGCCCATGCGTCCCCGCAGAGCTCTCTGATCGCTCTCGTACGACACCCATCTCAGGCGTTCATCTCCATCTACCTCCAGGCAGCTCAAGTATAAATAGGGGTACCCCCCTCTAGGTAAGGGGAGGAGTTTAATACAATCGACATCTGGATTTGGAACTGGTCTCAAAAACTATATTCTGGTTCCCCTCTTCATACCCCGTACTAACTTGAACGTCGCAGACTCTGCCTCGGGTTCTCACCCGAGGCCTCTGACATATTCTGTCTTGCAGTACCTCAGCCACCTGCCTTTGGCTTCCGCAGTACTTAGAGCCTCCTCCGCCTTGACCTCAGCAGCAACCTCTCCGAACCCTCAGAGCATTCGGCCATCCTCAAGAGCCTAGGGACGAAATTATTTTGTTGTCTTCGACCAATCCAAGCACCAACAGTAGGCAGCAACTTCTCATAAAATACCATATGTCTAGCTTTTTAGAAAAATGAAAAGATGGTGGAGAGTTATAGCCTGATGGTGAATTATGAGTTTTAACAAAAATTTCTCATAAATTACCACAAATCTAACTTTCTAGAAAATGAAAAGACCATTTATCTGAGCTATAATTTTTTTTTCCGAGATCGCATTTATTATACCCTACACAAAAGACTGCCAAACAGGTCGGTTGAGGGGAAATGAATTTTCAGAATTTAGATGACGTCGTCTTGTCTTCATTATATATGGATTTTGCAAACGTGCAGAAATGAAGGATTTAATCTTGAAGCTTTGATTGATTCTTCTACGCGTCGAGTACAGCTGGCTCTTTTAGGCTTTTTGGTTGACATTTTTCCACCCAAGTAACCGTAGCCGTGTAAACCATGAACCGTCTATCTTCTTTTCCTTCCTACCGATCCAATCATTAATTATGCGATCCTTAGGTTACCGTCTATCTAAACACAGCCATATTACGAATTACAATAACTTATTCCATTATTTCCAATAATAAATTGTTAGAAGTTAGAACCGTAAGTACCATTCCCTATTAATGGCTTTGTAACATCAAAATAAAAAATAAAATTCATCCTGATTATCGTCAAATCAAATAATTGGCCTAACGATGCTATAGACCACCTTAATGGTCTATACAACATTAAGGTGGTGTTCGACATTGATGCCGTTTTTTGTAAAAATGACGTTACATCGGTGTTATGTTAGAAAAAGCAGTGTTTTAGAAAACATTTTCTTATTTGGTATCATTTTTTTTAGAAAAAATGTTTCTCTAGATCATGCCTTGGAAATCGAAAAGGTGTGGTATGAAAAAATACCAAATTCAATGTTTTCTCAGAAAATAACTCGTTATTGTTAGTGATGCAATGATGTGACATCAATGTAGCATCATCTTAGGTATTGGATAATGTAGATCAATGTTTAAAACAGTTATATAACATTGATACCAAACAAAACCAGTGTTATTTTCCCAGAGAACAGCCTATATGTTAGCATTGATGCCAAACAAAAAAAAATGAGACATTTTTTAAGAAAACATTGCAACAGACCCTCATGCATACAGTACCATTTTCTCAAAAAACATCTTTGAAGCAACAACATTAATGCCAAATATCTACTAATACTTTACGCGCTAAAGTGTGAACAACACCATTCCACTAAGCAACGAATAAATTTCACCGAGAATCCTTGAATCAGATGTTTTATCGAGCTAGTTGAATGAAATTGCTTTCATGATCTTTTTTTTTTCAAAAATAAAATAAATAAATAACTGGTCCGCAGGGTGGGTCACCAGCCAGTTAGACTAATTTGGTAGAAGTGTTAAAATGAAAAAAAAAATATTCATTTTCTTGTTTAACCAAAGGAGGGAAAATTAGTTCTCCCTACTTTTCCAGAGTTTAACCAAACAATGCAAGGGGAAAACAATTCGGTTCCCTTTTGCTTTCTCATCCCTTCTTTTCTTTCAAATTAATCTAAATTGGGCTGGTTTAATTCGGCTTCAAATCAATCCTAACCCAATCCAAATTACCCGACCCTAACATAAACCCAACCAGGTGATGCATGTACATAAAGGCATGTGTAGTTGGGTTTTGGTAATGGGTTGCCCAAAGTTTCAACTCTAATGAATGCAAATTTATGTTTATAGTGACCTAGTAGTTGTTTGGCATAATGGTATTTATTTTGACATTGGTATAATGGAGATGGCAATTTTCCCATCCCCATCATATACTCCACATTGGGTTGGATATGGAGATTGCCTTGGTTGGATGGGAATGGGAATGGGATGAGGATTCTTCATCCCAATCTGACCCTGATTATATATATATATATATAAAAGAGGAAACAAATTCTCTTATTTTAGTATATTTATTTTTTAAAAAATATTTTTAATTTAAAAAATTAAGGGATTCAGGCCCTCAACAAACAAGAAACCCATCTTTATCAGAAATCATAATGGAGGGTGATTTTTATTCCAGCAGAAATTGGGGTTGGGAATGCAAAATTGAGATCAGGAATGGAGAATATGATCCCTGTTCGGAACCATTCCTAAACACATAAAACAACTCATTATAGTTTAAACACATAAAACAACTTCATAAAAGATGAAACAATTAATGTCAAGATGTCTCACGGTTTGTAGACAATGTCAATAAAGACTTTTCCCCAATGCCTCCACGCACATAACATGATATAAAAGGAAGGTACTAATTATAAACCTTTGAATTCAAATCTACCAAATCAAATGTGATTTTGGTGGTATTTAAACCAATGTTTTAAAAACTGATCTGAAATCGAATCATCCTGGTCACTGGTTTTTGGATCGACGGTTTGACCATTTAGTTTGAATAGATAATTTGTTTTAATAAAAAAATATTAAAATAAAAATAGTCAAAAAACATTGAATGGGTCGAATTAGTTGACCATTCGACCACCCAAATTACTGATCGTTGATCAGCTCAATGGTTTTTGTCCAAGAATCGAATTTGGAGCAAACCAGAACCGCTTACCTGAATGGTCCAACTGTTCAGGTCAACGACGATTAACATTGACATAAACAACAGATTCAACTATGATACAGAAAAGATATGATATAGAAAAAACAACTGACCCAAAAACTAAAATCATAAACATACTAACAAATAACGTATTATTTATCAAAATTTATGGATGGATTTTAATTGGTCAAAATTATTTTCATTTCATATCTTTTCTGCATCGTAGATTTTCCCGTAAACAAAACGCCTAGTATAAAAGGGAAATCAATTCCATGATCCAAAGTTAGTATTTTTACCCAAAATCATCCATTTAAACCAAACATCCACCCTCCTAAACGGCTAGATGCGAGAAATAAAAATTAAAAAATAAGATACTGAGACTCTAGGGCCTGTGAGTGGCTGAGAAATAAGGAGAGGAGTAGAGGACCCATTTGTTTCCAAAACAAGCCAGGGTACTTTTGTCAATATAAAAATGGAGCACCTGTATTAAATCGGGTGGTTATATAATAACTTGTCACAGAGATGGAGAGAGAGATTCATTAAGAAGAAAAGAATGGCCTCTGGTGGTGGGATTTGATGATTTGAAGACTCTAGGATAATTGTTTGTGAGAGTATCCACGGCGTCATCGTCCAACAAAAACCCGCAGAAAGTCAGACGAGAAGGCCGTGGACTGCTACTCTTCAAACATTTTATCTCAAACCTAAAAGCAAAAAGATCTCACCGCTTCGCCGTGTTTGGAAATTGAAACGGCGGAGAAAGATTGACAATCATATTTATATATATACATAGGTAGAGATACAGAGTGGATTGTTTAATCTGTAACTGTTTATTATAAAAGATTGAGAGGAGAGCTAAACAGAGGGAGGCGTTGCTTGTTAGTCAATGTTGAAGGAGGTGGAGAAGCGGGGAATGCGACTTGGTAAGTACGAGCTCGGACGCACTCTCGGCGAAGGGAATTTCGGCAAGGTCAAATTTGCCAGGAATATTGAATCCGGTCAAGGATTTGCAGTTAAGATCTTGGAGAAAAACAGGATCTTCGAACTTAAAATCAGCGATCAGGTATCTTTTAGTTCCTCGTTCCTAATTCAATGTTACCATTCTTTGGTACGCTGTTCTGTTCCTCCTCTTACTTTTCTGGATTTTCTTTATTGTGTTCGACTGTTCGGGGGATTTTAGGCATCATATCTCGAGAAAATTTTCAATAAGATCCTTCTCAGGATTCATTTCATATTATAGCTTGCTTAAAAGATTTCAATTTCTCGCTGCTCTGTTGTAAATTTCCATCTTAACCTCCCCTGTCTCCGTTCTGTTCTTCTAAATCTGCACTTTTCTTCCCCTGTGAACAAATTCAGGCTATCATATCACATGTTTTGTCGGTTCCGATTCTTTATTTTTCATATTTTGCTCCTCCATTTCCCGTGTTTCTCGTGCTGCCAGTTCCGGTGTCTATCTTCCTGAGATGACGCATGACCCAAGCTTTCGTGAGTTTGTGGATTTTATGCCTTCGGTTGTCTGTTTCGTGTTCTTCGTTTTCTTTTTCTTTTTTAAAGGCGTCTGTTATCGTTCTTCGAATGGGATTTGTGTTGCAGATAAAAAGAGAGATCCGTACTTTGAAGCTTCTAAAACATCCCAATGTCGTCAGATTACACGAGGTATGCAGCTTCCTTTCCTTTTTTTTTTTTCAGAATATTTTATTGCAATTGGAAACCAAACTCCCGAATCGAATTCCTCTTTTTAGACGGTTTTAGCTGGATTATTGGAACATGCAAGGATTTTCCTTTTCTTTTCTTTCGTTTTTTTTTCATGGCGCTACACAACACGACAACACCAACAGCCGTGAGCCGTGAGCCGTGATCCGTGGGCTGTGGGCCTATGGCCCATTACCATCGGCCCATCCCTTAACAACATAACGTAACTCTCGTCTCCCTAATCCCGTGGGCTGTGTCCGCGGGATTTGATCCCGGGTCTCTGCTACCACGAGTCAGAGATCTGGAACTTGCGGCTTTATTGCCGAATAAATTCCGCATTCCAAAAATATAAATGCCTATACTTGATTTTGCTTAATGCCTTGGCTTTATGTGAATACGTGTAGACTGTAGACCTTCATATAAAAATTTTAATCCATTTATTTTCCACTAGTTTATTTTGTTAAGTATTTTATTTTTCTTTCTCGCCTTTCATTTTCCTGAGGATCTGATTTCCTCTCCTCACCATGCGATCTTCTTGACCACATCCCTTGTTTGTAATGTCGCGTCGCCGTGAACGTTCTAATTTTAGTTCACCAATTATTTGCTACATGGCAGTATTTGCATGAATCTGCTAAAAGCACAAGACAAGATAGTAACGAATGGGGAACTTCTCACAAAATGCGCCTCATACCCATCTCACAGCCACATCCCACTCTGAATTGAAAATATCATCCATCAATAATAAATACAAGTATATAAAATGTTCTGAATGTGTGGTTAGAATATGTTATGAATTTAATATGAGACTGTTTTGTAAGGAACAGACTCGCCATCAATAATAACATGGCGGAAACGGGATCTACTCTTCACATATGGCACCTCACAACGATTTTATAGATACACCCCACCATGGATTGGGAATATCTTCCATACTTATATTTATTATTTACAGGAGATATAGAGCAGATCCCAATTCAAAACGAGGAGGCACCGGAGCTTTCACCACACTTAAGGGTCCCATCACGACTCGGTGCGTGAGAGAGAGAGATGGTTTATGGGATTTGAGTTATGAACAGCTAATATAATACCCGTTTAATTGGCTGGAGGACATGGGCTTTCTCCGATAATTACTCTGTTTGTTTTTGGGATAGAAGAAAACCGCAAGCAATGTCCGTGTTGATGATTTTGGTGGGGCCCTGTTAATTGTGCAAAGTTAATGACTTATGAGTCCTCCCTTTCCTGGGGAGTGGGGAGTGGGGGCACCAGACCGGAGGACCCACGATCGATAATAATTCATCACGTAAAAAGGGGACCAGACCACACAGATCAATCTATGGAGGAATTCTGTTCCTCAAGTAAAGTAAAGGACATTTTGAAGTTGCAGGAAACTATTCATTATTGTAGGTGTGGGTGAAAACATATGATTGGGCCGTCCTGGCGGTTGCGGATGGATGGTTTCAGTGGCTTGGAATGTGGACAATCATGTGCTTCCACATTCTCAATTGAGTCAATTTGGTTATTTTGATTCATCCATCATCATCATCGTCGAAGAATCGAGTTGGTTAAGGTCTATATATAATGGGAGAATCAATGAGTCTGCAAGAAAAACTAAGAAATTGCTTCAGCTAAGAAAAAAATAAATAAAGAAAAACTAGGAAGAATACGGATGAACGTCTCCTAGCTTCTTTGTTGACCCACTTCCAGCACCAGCAGGCAGCAGTTGAAAATTAGGACCCCTTCTTCTCAATGGAACTATTTGCCGTTTTAGTGGGTGGACGGGAAGTAGCACAGCTCCCTTCACTTCTTTAAGTTGACCCGAGTCACCCGACCCATCATTTGCCTAAATTATGGCTTTTTTTTTGAGGGGGCTTAGACATATACCTGGAAAAAAGTTGACTCAATCTGCGAATCAGATTCAATCCAACCTGAAAAAGCAGAGTTAGGGTCTCATATTTAATTATGTGAATGTTAGAATGACCCGACCTGGAAAAAACTGGATTGGATTGGGTTGGGTCATGGGTCAATCCGCTGACCCGATTGTCAGGTATAATTAAGACTATTTATGCATTGTTAGAAGTTTCCACTCTTTAATTTTTTTATTTAATCTTTACTCTTTATTCTTTACTCTTTGAATTGTTAAATGTTCAAGTTTTTATTTTATATTTGGAATTTTAAGGGTAATTCTTTTAATTTTAGCATTTTTTGTGTCTTTTTTCTTTATGTTTTTAAGTTTCGGTTATTTTTTGAGATAACCGGAATTGAACCATGGGTCAACCCTAACCTGAACATTTAGGGTTAGGGTCTAGCATTTGACAACCCAACCCAAAATTCAACCCGAAGTGTCTTTACCCAATCCGAACCCGACCCACCCAACCCAATTGCCGTGTCTACTTAGACAGTAATTGAGCTGCAAGCTTTTAAATTTCCACCAAACTTTGGGCGGAGAAGTAATTTTGTTTGGGGATGTGAAAGTAAACCAAATTTGCTAAGTTTTGATCTGAAATTTTAACTTGTTTTGTTAAATTTTTAGCTCTAGCAAAGTATCCAATAAAATGTCTGATATCTCAGTACATAATATACTTTTTAACATTTGAGTTTATTGCCAAATGAAGTAAGATATTTTAGATGCATAAAAATTTTGGTTATTTATTTAAAGTCATTTTCGTAGGTCATGAGCTACTGATTACTCCACACAGATGAATCCATTCCTTTTATTTCATGTTCATCATGATTTTCTAATTAATTGCAGTTTACTTCAGGATGAAGCTATGAAATGCTAAGCTTTAATGTTAGTCATTTCCATTTTTCCTTCTTGAAAAAAGCAAATTCTTCTATGCAACCAAAATCAGTAAATTTTCAAGGTATGCATAAAAATATCATTTCCTGTTTAGAATTTCATATAGAATTCTTCATTTGCTAATCATAGAGAAGTTGCCTGTAGTCACGAGAGTGATATCAAAAGTAAATGATGTCGTATCTGATGCATGTTGATATCTCTCTCATCCTTCCTTTCGATTGATACTTTAATGAATAAGCATATTGACTCAAAGTAATAAAAAATGGTTCTGTTTAATGCTATTATTTACCATGACGTTGATAATATCCTAATTCATCTCCTGATCTCTTGCTATGGTTAACTCTGAATTTTACAGGTTTTAGCAAGCAAAACCAAGATTTACATGGTCCTTGAATATGTTAACGGTGGTGAATTATTTGACAGAATTGTAAGGACCATCCAATCTCTTCCCTAGCTGATTAGTTTTACTTGGATCTTTTCCTTGTTTCTTCAACTTCACATATTATTAAGTTGTCCCTGTCAACTTCTATTCAAACGCTGTAGTATTTCACATTATGAAAAATTTCATATAGGCATCAAAAGGGAGGCTCCCAGAAGTTGAAGGACGGAAACTCTTTCAGCAATTAATTGATGGTGTAAGCTACTGTCATGACAAAGGTGTATTCCATAGGGATCTGAAGGTAATTTTAATTAATGCTGTTAAATGTTAAATTGCATTATCAGAGACAAGGAAAGTTGGCATTGGAACTTTATGAGTATGGCCTTAAATGAACTGTTAGAAAAAGCAACATAAGCTGATCGGATTTACATGGTTGACAGTCATTCAACTTATACCATTCTCTTTTCAATATATATTTTGTTTATTTTGCTCATCCTCATCCATGTATGCTGTTTCCATTGCAGCCGGAGAATGTCCTTATTGATGCAAAAGGAGACATAAAGATATCTGATTTTGGGCTCAGTGCTTTACCTCAACATTTTAGGGTATCGTGTGTACAAATCCATCCTATGCCATGTTCCAGTTTATATTTATACCTGAAACCAATCAGTTACCCATTCTTTTACTGTCACTGAAATATCAGGATGATGGATTACTACATACAACCTGCGGAAGTCCTAATTATGTTGCACCAGAGGTAGCCATGAGCTTTAATTGCTAATATCTGATGGTTTTTTAGAGCTTTGCTGACTTGCACCTTGATACCATGTCTACAGGTTCTTGCTAATAGAGGATATCATGGTGCCACATCTGATCTATGGTCATGTGGTGTTATCTTATATGTGATTTTGACAGGTCATCTCCCTTTTGACGATCGAAATCTCGCAGTTCTGTATCAGAAGGTATAGGCAATTTACCTTTGGTTTGATTTCAATGGTAGCCTTTGGCTATACATTATATTTGGAGTTCCAGTCGTATTGATCCTTGACCAAAATTTCTATGTGATCCTCCTTACTGATTCAGATCTTCAAGGGAGATGTACAGATGCCCAAATGGCTCTCAAAAGGTGCTAGAAACTTGATAAAGAGGATTCTTGATCCTAATCCAAATACTAGGATAACTGTGGCTGAGATAAAGTCAGATGAGTGGTTCAAACAAGATTATATTCCCACTATTCCTGATGATGAAGATGAAAACTTCCACATTGATAATGATGCCTTCTCAATCCATGGGGTGGTATGAAAGTCAGCCTATTCTGTAGTCCATTTATGAGTCTGCTTTTTTGGTTTTATGATGAACTGAAGGAAATCAGTTTCCTGATGTAGACACCAGAGGTGGAGAAAGATCCTGGTCAACCAGCTCTAATCAATGCTTTTCAGCTGATTGGAATGTCATCATGCCTTGACCTCTCTGGCTTCTTTGAAAAAGAGGTTTGTTTGTTTGCACGCCATCATAAGCATGTTAAATTAGTTCATTAACCTGCAAAATTTCAGGAGATACATAATTGATAACAGAACATCAGAAAGAGCAACTTCACAAATTTGTATCTTTTCCACTGATAAAAACAATTCCCCCCTTTACCTTGCAAAACCTTATCAACTCAGCAAAGCCTTGTCTTAACTATATCTGTTTGACTACAATAATCATATTCTGCAAGTCCACTCTATTCAGTGCTATATTTATTGTCAAACTATGATCCCTCAAATCATTTCTCACTGATTCAACCCATGTCATTTTTGCCTGCCCATAGGACCCCTTAATTTTGCCATAGATCTCTTCTTCTTACTGGTTCCATAGAATGGTTTTTTATGCATTTCACCAAAACATCTTAGTTTTCTTTCTCTTATTTTATCTCACACAACAGGGCTACTCCTAGATTTCTATGAATATGCTCATTTTTCATCCCATTTTTTCTAATCCTAACTGAATAGTAACCTGATTAAATCTGCAAGTTTGTAATTAGTCTCCTCTTACAACAACAATGAATGCATTCTTCCTCATAGATCTTAAATAAAAATCATAATGTCTTTCCTATGCTTCAAGGACATTCCACAACAGCTCTAGATTTTACTATCCCATTTTTTGGGTTATTGAAATCACCCTGATTGAGGGAATTCCATATCCAGAAATTTGTATTATTTTATGATTCATTATTAGGTTCCTGGTTAATAGGAAGCTCAATTACAAATTCATTCATTACATTAACTGCAGGAGGCTTCTGAGAGAAAAATAAGGTTCACATCCAATTATTCACCAAAAGAATTATGTAAGAAGATTGAGGATGTTGTCACAGGTATGGGATTCAGAGTCCAGAATAAAAATGGAAAGGTTAGTGCTCTTAATGCAGAGCTATCAATTTTCGTTTGTGTTAATTAGTCCACTGGATTTGCTCAAAACTTTATACCTCACAGAAGAAGTCTCTTTTGGGCTATCTTTGGTTGCCCGTGTGTATTTGTTTTTTCCTTAGGCTATGTTTGGTTTGATAGAAAATAAGAAAGAAAAAGAAATTTGAAGGAAAATTCTTGTCAAATTTAGTGAAATTCCTTAAGAAGTTTCACTTAACTTCAATTTCTATCTTACTAAACATATCCTTAATCTACATGCAAGGAACCACCCATTTAGCATTTATGTATGTGATGCATCAACTCGAAAGTGATGAAGCTACTTGTCAAGTATTGTTATTCTGAATTACAATATCAGAATCACTTTGTGGCTAAGCATTCAAATCAAATAATTTAATTCTCCTTTCTCTGCTTCTATTTTGCAGCTTAAGGTGATGCAAGAGCACACTGGGCAGATAAGACCTGGTAATCTTTCTGTCGCTGCGGAGGTGAGCTTTCTCAATGGGTTTTATACTTTTATTGCTTTGTCAATGGTTGATAGGTGCTAAGTTTATGGTTACTAACAATGAAAGTCTGCAGGTTTTTGAGATAAGTGCATCTCTATATGTAGTAGAGTTAAGAAAATCATATGGAGATCCATCGTTGTATAGACAGGTAACAATCTCTTTCGCTTTTGTCATTAGCACTTTTAATAAATTTGAATTCAAAACTGAAAATTGATTTAGGTCAACTTGATAGCGCACCACATTATACCCACTCGACATACAAAATTGGTGCATCCAAATATTTTATAATCTATCATTTCAAATTGGATACAAAGTTGGAGCATCTTTTGTCTTATGCACCATTTGATAGAAATGGTATGATTATCTTATTTTCTACCTTTTGATTGTTAATTATGATATCTGCGGATGTAGTTGTGTGCAAGACTATCTAATGACTTGGGAGTCTCTCGAAGCCAAGAGTTTTTGACATCACAAGTGTGAATGTGCGACTAGTCATTGAGCAGCATCGATGGGAAAAAGCTAGCAGGAGGTGCAATATAATTTGTTACTTCTAAAAGTGAAATAAAGAAACATATTTTTTGTATGTTTTATTCATCCCCACATTTAAATTGTACAGAAATAAATTTTCTATAGTATTTATCATTTTAGCACCCTTTCAAATCTTTAAAAGGGCAAGGAATACAAAATGAATACCAATGAGTTCATGGTTTGAAATTTTGAAATGACCTCATTACAATATCCTATATATTAGCTACCAGGATTGGTTCCCAGTTTGAAATGATTTCATTTCACGTGGCATCCAAACCAGACTAAGAAAAGCCCAATGCCCAATCGTAGGTCTCCAGGGTATTGGGAGGGGTGGACAAGGTAAGAGGCCTAAAATTCAGCATTCTAGCATGAATGTTGGAGAAAAGTCTGTTGAAGTTAAAATGTAGTTGTGCACATGTAATCCCTAGTAAGCGTGTACTACCTTGTACACGACAATTTTTTATGATGATGATGATGATTCTTGAAAAGACCACAAGACCAACTTTAGGTTTCCTTATTTTTAAAAAATTATTTTATATTTTTATGTTTATAAAAATTAGTCTTATTTGTCACACTTATATTTGTTTAATATGATGAATATATGATATTAGAAAAGTGCCCAAATGTTTTCTACAACTTTCTTTTGTATTTTTATACTTTTATATGTTTTCATATTTATTATTATTATTATTATTATTATTATTATTATCATTATTATTATTATTATTATTACGACCATGAAGGATTGACACATTTTGACCCAAAAGGTTGAATTGTTGACTTGCCATCAAATAAGAAAAAAACTCCATTGTTTTTTTGAAAAGGTAAGATAAATTTTATTCAAAAAGAAAAAAAAAAGTATACAAGAGGTATACAAAAGTCAAACCCCACAGAAAACTAGAAAAAAACCACTATACAATCTGAGCCCACTGCTTAAGGGTTAAAACATCACCATGTAACCACAAAGTGAGGAGAACCGGTACCATCTCCTCAATTAAACCTAAAACCTCAGGCCAAAGCCATCTACCCAAAGACCAAAAAGAGCAGGCCCTCTAACTAACATACCGAGCTATTTCTTCCTCTACCTCTTCTACCCCTTCCCTTAGTACAACAGGCACCTCGAGAAGGTGGACTAGATACCAATAAGTCATAACAATCCATCAAAAGTTTTGATTTCCTGTTCCCAATTGGCAGAACAAACGGTGTAGAAGAAGCATCTAACTAAGAACTTTCTGTCTCCACTTCTGACTTTGGTTCTGAGTTCCTAACACTCCCAGGGTTCTGAGCCTTCACTTTGCGGGCAAGTGCGGATCTGAACCAATCTAAGACTTGAGGTTCTTGATCCTCTGAGGTGGATACCCCAAGAAACTTTCTAAAGTCTATCAACTTCTCCAATTTTAGATTGATTTTAAATTTGTATTTTATTTTTATCATCAATAAAACAATTATAGAATTCAATGAAAGAATGGGAGTTAATACCCTAAATATAAAACTTCATGAAAGGGAATTGAATGAGGAGAAATGTAATGGTTTAAATTACATTTTGTGACCTTACAATTAGAGATGGACCAAATTCAAAAACAACAGTATTTTAGTTAAGAATAGGATTCAATAAATCTTAATAGGAGTACCTTAAATATAAGACTTAATGTGAGAGATTTGAAGAAGGGAAAAGTGGTTGTTCAAATTACATTTCTATCCTTACAATTAAAGAGGGACCAAATTAAAAAATTAAAGTATTTTAGTTAAACAAAAGTTCTACACTCTTATTCACACTTTTAATAGTATTATAGATAGATTAGAAAGGTGGTAAACCATGGGGGCATACGGTTGAATCTAAATCTACTAGTAACAAACAATACCAAGCATGTGTTAGATTTGTGTAACCTTTTCCTCTAACGGTGTTCATGGCCGAATTTGGAGATCTCAAACCAAACAAGTAATTAAATTAAGGTTTAAGAAACTCTCAAACTAAACCGAACCATTTTAGTATAGAAACCAAATCATAATGGTTTGTCCAATTTCTAATACAATTTTTGGGCCATTCTATTGGGTTTAACTTTAACTCAATTAGAAATCCAAAATAACATGCATACCTAATGTGAGCTCCAGGAAGCTCATGGTTGGCTCATGGCTGGCTCAAAGAGATGGAGTCGCCACCCATTTTTTTAGAGGAAATGGGCCATCATTTTTAGATTTGAAAAACTCGATTCAAGTCTTTGATAGTGACTCTGTCCTCTATAGAAAAGGCGATAACTGAGAGATTTAAGTCCGAAGGATTGGGAGAGGGAAGGTATTAGGCACCCCTCTCTCCAAGTTGTTGTAGCAGCCCAATATGGGAGTTATTCAAGCTCAATTTCTTTTAGAGAAAAACAGGAAGAAATGGTTGCAAGAATTTCTTAAATATGGAGGAACATACTTTCTGGAGGGATAGGAGATCCATCATATGGATGGCCAAACCCTGCAAGAAGGTTGGGCGAAATTTCAAAAATTTTTTTACTCCCATTTATGAATCCTATTCCCAATTTAGAAAACTGCATTTTCAAGGTTCGTTCTTGTAACCACACCGAACCAAATTACAGAATCCATGCAAGAAGCTCCTCCCAACGTAGGTGTTCACGCCCAAAGAGTGTACCAAATCCTCCCTCCACTGAAGATGACACAGCTTAGGATGAGGCAGGACCAGAAGGTAGCTCTTCACCAAGAACTTGTAATTCTTCAGCAAGAATCGTATGGGGTAGTGAGCACAAATTCAAAATTGTTTCTTCTAGCAAGAAACAATATCAAGATCAAATCTTGATCAAATCCAAGAACTGGAGATTGAATAGGGTAGAGCGACAATAGCAGGAAGAAAAAGAAATGAAAGCAAGATCAGTCTAACTGAGTTGTCTTCTCTCTGTGTTGTGTTTTTGGTGTCTTTTTCAGGTCCGCCCTGCTCTCTATTTATAACCTTAAAGAGGCAACCTCCTAATATGATTAGGAGTTTCTTGATCCAAATCTTTATTTGGATATGGACTCTTTAAGTGATAAGGATAATCCCTTATCTCATATGCAGATCAAAATCAGCTTATTCCTAATCAAATTAGGAGTTTCTTGATCCAAATCTTTATTTGGATCTGGACTCTTTAAGTGGATAAGAGTTATCCTCTTATCCTTATGTACTAATCCAATCCCAGATTTGCCCCTATTTAATTAATCCAATTAACCCAGTTCGAAATGGACTTTTAGGCCCATTAAGCTTTCAAGCTCACTTCCTTTTAATGCCGGCTACCTTGACTCTCTTTGTATGGCGTGGGACCCTAACATTGATCTACACATCAGTTACATGGATTCAACCTAGCTTTTGTTACAAGGCCAAGCCGAATTTACTGCTAAATACAGTGAAGCCCTGAGTCCATCACCATGGGCTCTTAATGCGCCCAACATTTACACTAAATGGTCCTTGGGTCCAACCATCTTATGAAGGCCCAAGGACTGTGGGCAGATGCAAGATTAACCCATCAGGTATAACCCTCAATGGTCTTACACTTGACCTCTCAGCCCTTAATGATCAAACACTGCCCGACAAGAGAGGACCTCTCCCTCGGCTGCAAGGTACAATGCTGCACTCTCTACTCACATGGATCCCAAGAATTAAAACTTTTTTGTAAGCATTTTGAAACCATAATATATATATGTATATCTGACGGGTTGTCAAAGCCCTCAAATTTAATGCTAGTCCCACAATAGAATTTTTGTAGTAATAGTGGTACTAGGTCGAATACCATAAGGAGCTAAACAATAATCTCTCAGCCGAATGAATAATATAACTGAGTGGGAAAATCAAATAACTAAATTTAAAAGAACAAGAAAGCAATAGCAAGTTCAACTAACAAGAAGTAATCAATCTTACCGAATTATGGTTCAAGGGTTCGGGTTAGTCAATTGGCCATCGATCATAGGTAGACTTCGGTGGTCTTGCAATTCAAGCATTTAACCTTAGATTTATTAGGATAGCCATAATAAACCTTGTGTTTTCCTAAATTAGCTGACCAAACCCAGCATTCGATCAACACTTATCACTAATCGACTGGGTACAATAG